CGACCTCTCTCCTGAATGACATCGAGGCTGCTGACGTTGGAGAACCTTGACGAGAGCACGGAGGCTCAGGAAAAGCAGCTGAAGTCCATCCTGAAAAGACACCAGAAGATCTTCTTAGGTGACGGAAATGCTGCCCGGCCTCCGGCGAGGGGCGTCATCTGTGATCTAGATGTGGGTGATGCCAAGCCAGTGGCACAGCGACCCCGAACGGGCGGTCCACATTTGGCAATCAAGGTGTACAAGTTATTGAAGAATCTCCTGGAAGCTACACTAATTGAACACTCTGAATCGCCGTGGGCATCCCTAATTGTGATCGTACTCAAGAAGAATGAAGTGGACATTCGATTGTGCATCGACTATCGAGTCGTGAACAGCTTCATTCAATTGTCGAACTACCCACTACCACTGATCGACGATCTCATTACTGGTTTCGAAGGAATGATGTGGTTTATGAGTTTTGACATGGCGAGTGGTTTCTGGGCAGTCCGAATGACTGAGAGGGCTAAGCTGATCTCGGCATTTACCTGTCCATTCGGGCATTTCCAATGGGTACGTATGCCATTCGGGTTGAAAAACGCCCCACTAATTTACCAACAGATGATCAATAATTGCCAGTGAGGATTTGTGCGGCTACCACCCGAAGAAGAAGAACTTGTGGACCAGGATATGCTAGACTACTAGAAGTCGGACCCTCAGTTGCCGAGTGATGAAATGGATGCTGAACGCAGCATGCCACCGCTAGTGGAACAAATGACAGTTTTCAGGCGTAACATTCCCGCCCCATCCCAAATGGGGTCAGTCTTGGGGAGCAGTTCGTATATTGATGTCATCGCGCATGGGGCGGCCACGTGGGACCAACTGTGCGGTGATCTAGATGCGTTGCTCTATCGGTTACGATACTGGAGTATCTCAGTTAGCTTGCCTAAGAGCGAGTTCGGGAAGCGTGTCATAGCGTACCTCTCTCACGAGATTGGTGCCGAATGGATACGTTCCACCCCGAAAATCGTAAAAGACATTCAGGAGTTACCGTTTCCGTCTACCATGAAAGGAGTCCAGTCATTTCTAGGCAGTCTGAATTACTACCACAAATTCATCGAGGATTATGCCGTGGTAGCTGCTTCACTCTATGAGTTGACAGATGACCACGTGCGCGCAGGACGACACTTATCCCGAGCAAAGGAATCTTTTGCGATCCTAAAGAGGAAGATTGTGTCTACACCTCTACCCAGACACCCGGATCGAACGAAACCTTTTGTGATCATCCCTCATGCGAATCAGTGGGCTGCTTGCGCGGTTCTAGGACAGATGCATGACGGGCTTGTTCAGCCCGTTCGATTCACGGGGCACGTCCTGAGTGACGCCGAGCTCAAGTACCATATTGCTGAGAAGGAAGTTCTCGCTGTGATGCGAGTGCTCCATGTGTTCTAGAATCTGATCGAAGAATGTCCGTTGATAATCTACACTCTACATTCAGTGTTGACATGGGTCATCAATTCCAAGACCGCCGAAGCCCGTCTGATGCCATGGGACGTCGATCTCTCACAGTAGGACTTGGAAATTCGGAAGGTCAGTCGGGATGAGGATGGTTTAGCCGCCATTATGGGTTCAGGTATCACTTCCAGGGAGCACTTGGATTAGGTCGCCGAAGTACTCATTCCAGCCAAGGGCCACGTCAAACCGACTCCAGTCGTGAGTGTCGAAATGCTCTCAGTGGAGTACTCCGGAGTGGTGCTGAGTTTTGATGGTGCGGCCAAAACTTCCACGAGGAAGGGCAGCTGGGGATGCATTCTGTGGCAGCTACCTGAATGGAAGGTATTGAATGCTCGAGGATATATCTTGGATGGAGACACCGTCAACGACGCGGAATACTTCGGGTTGTTTAAAGGGCTTGCAACGGCTTTGGAAAGAGGAATTCAGGACATAGTCGTCGTGGGTGACTCGAGAATTGTGATTCAACAAATCCAAGGTCTGATTAATTGTAACAAGCCTAATCTCCAAATGAGGCTAGCTGAATATGAAACCCTTAATTTCCAGACGGTCCGATTGGTACACATGAAGCGTGTTCAACCAGACTGCCGATTACCTGACCTCGAAGACGCTTGTCCAAGGTGAATCCTGAACTGTTCAGGATGATCTCGAGAAACGACACCTGGAAGTAGTGTCTAAGAT